TCTGAATCTTCACTCCGGCTTAGCAATGGCGTGAAGCGTCTGAATCCCACAATCCTCAGGGAAACCTGACGGCCGCAGAAATGTGACCTGATGCAGTGGGAAACCCAGCCTGAGAGGGAGTCTGACCGAGTCTGGTGCTTTTTAACATAATGGACGTTTCCTTCATCATGAGAAAAACCAGTCCTCGCTTTTGTGTTTCAGACATTTTCAGCAACATTACCTTGACAAAGAATGAAAATGTGCAGTTATGTCGGTAACGCCTCCTTTTACAGTCCTGTTACCCATGTACATACTATTTACTTATTAAAGTAATTACAATTACTGGTTAAACTAGGTACTAAACCTACCCCTAAGCCATGTACTTACCTTATATTAGCCAGTACTTTCTAAGTACACGTAAGTACTGTACTGTAAAAGGAAGCGTTACTGTTATGTCCTTTAGGTGTGTTATTTTAATACGCTTGTTAAATCAAACCATTTGGGCCAAACTTAAATTACAGGTGAAACTCGAAAAATGTAAATATATCATGCAAAAGTTCAGTAATTCAACTTAAAAGGTGAAACTAATATATTATATAGACTCATTACATGCAAAGTGAGATATTTCAAGCCTTTATTTGTTATAATTTTGATGATTATGGCACAATATTCTAATTTTGTCTTTGGGGTTTTCATAAGCTGTAAGCCATAATCATCAACATTATAACAAATAAAGGCTTGAAATATCTCACTTTGCATGTAATGAGTCTATAAAATATATTAGTTTCACCTTTTAAGTTGAATTACTGAACTTTTGCACGATATTCTAATTTTTCGAGTTTCACCTGTATATGTTCTGTGCATTTAGTCAATCGAATCTTAAGCATAATTCAAAATCATCAAACGAATGTGTGACAAAGAATCATGAAAATGTGCCTAGGACTGAAGTTATGTCCTTCAGGTATGTTGTATTAATAAGCTTGTTAAGTCAATCCATTTGGGCCAAACTCAAATTATATTTACCGTGCATTTAGTCAATCTAATCTTTAGCATAATTCAAAATCATTTATCCCTCTCCCCGCCGTCTGTGACTATCAATACAATATATTAAAACTGTATTTGGGAGAAATGAGATTTTACTGGGACTTAGCGCGCATCGAATGATGTCCCGGAGTTTGCGAGGAAGAGTGGGACCGCGGGGACCGGCGGGTAATTAGGTTAGTGGGTTGTCAGTGTCAGGAAATTGAAAGACAATCCTAATCAGATTTCTGTTTCTAGGGAATCAAATAATTTGTATAAGGAGAAGAAATCTCCCGATTCGGCTTCTGGAAAGATAATGCAGTTTGTTGTCGCGGCTCTTTGTTGCGCTTTTTGTGTCATGATTGATGAAACCGACGTTATAATTCAGATCAAACGCATTTAGCAGTTCATATATTACGCCGTCGTGCTTTTCTGGGAAGCGTTGAAAATGTAAAGCATGCACAACATAATACTGTTGTCATTTGTCAGCTGATTATGGGTGTTAAATGAAGCCGTTGCTCTTCTCTTTGTGTTTCCTCTGCTCCTCCGTCCCGGCTCTAATCTCACACTCTATAATGTCCAATAAAGGAGACTTGCAGGAGTAATTTGGCGCACACACACGTCCTCTGACACACAGGGATGAGATCATGCAGGGAAGAGGAACCACAGTACTGGTGAAACTCCAGCAATTAGAAAAATGTATTTCAGTAATTCAACTTAAAAGGTGAAACTAGTATATTATATAGACTCATTACATGCAAACTGAGATATTTCAAGCCTTTATTTGTTATAATGTTGATGATTATGGCTTACAGCTTATGAAAACCCCAAATTCAAAATTAGAACATTGTGAAAAGGTTTTCATAGCTGTAATCCATAATCATCAACATTATAACAAATAAAGGCTTGAAATATCTTACTTTGCATGTCATGAGTCTATATAATATATTAGTTTCACCTTTTAAGTTGAATTACTGAAATAAATTAAGTTTTGCATGATATTCTATTTTTTCGAGTTTCACCTGTGTGTGATACACGTCCCATAACTTTACCTGCCGTTTGTTTTTAAAACAGCAACATTTCCCCTTTAATATGAATCATTAGATACTCTCTCTATTTCAGCTGTTCCCGTTAACTCTTTCCCAACATAGATATCCATAATAAAGGCTAGATGTCTCGTCCGCGCTGCTGGCCAATGGAGGTCGCCGTCCGCACTGGCGGCCATCTTGCCACAGGCAGCTCGCTCACTCGTAACATTGTGTTTTAATGGTGCATTTTTTTTTTTAAATAACCATAACTTGCTCAATTTTCTACCGATTTTCAAACGGGTTGGTTTGTTATAAACGTCAGATGTAGTTATGACACTGCACACTTATGAATAATAAGTGTATCAATAAATAATCATCCAGAATTATAGCCACGTGAATAATGTTTGTAAGAAACCAAACGGTTTGTAAATCCGTCAAGATTTCACCGAGATGAGAGTATTTGTGTTCGTGCTGATCACTCATCTTACATCAGGCACCACAGAGCCCGCCAGAAAGCTTGCCTGTGACAAGATGGCCGCCGGTGATGACGATAGAGACTCGCCGTAAGACATCTAGCCTTTATTATGGATATCTATGGTCTGCGATGCATCTATCACTTGTTTCTGCTTCTTCTTCTCCTGTGTTTTGATCAGGGGATTCAGTTCTCTTTCAGGAGATGTGTGATAGCGCCCCCTACTGTATTACAGTGAAAGCCGGACAATTCCGTCAATGGCGGGAAAGAGTTACAAATTATGAAAACGTTTTGTTCCCCTGACCTGTTTTTTTTGTGTGTGTGTTATAAAACTTTTTTTTTTTTTTTTTTGTTATTCCTTGGTTGGAAACATTCAATTTTATCATATTCTTCTAAAAAAAAAATATAAAAAAATATCTTGAAAAAACGTCCAGTTTTAATGTTTTAAAAACTTTATTTTGTTTTGGTTATGTGAACGTTTAGGGAACATTCCGTTTCATCATTCTTCACACATTATCGGAATGTTACATTTGGATGTTCTCTGAACATTCCGAAACAAGTACAATTTAAAGAATGTTAGATGAACGTCCAACTAAAATGTTTTTGTTTTTTTTAACACACCATGAACGATGTATAAATAATGTTTTTAAGGTTTTGAGAACATTATTAAAGACCAGATAACTCTAAACGAACGTTCTATGGAAGAACTGGAAGAACTTTCCGTAAAACATTTGGTGGAGGATTCACTTTCAAATCATTTTCACTCAGAAATTCAGCTAATAAATCTCACAAACAATTACAAGCAAACACATTGAATTGAACGTGAAATTTTGAAGTAGAAAGAAAACGTACTCCAATAATGTTTTATTTACAATAAAAAATATTTTTTTACAGTGTCATTTGCTTCTTAAGTAAGTGTCACAATGTTTTTATTTAGATCATTTCCCTAATCATAGGTTGTATTAATAACTAGCAACAGCAGAAAAAACATTAACACGTGTAATGTGCAAAATATGGTTATTTAAAATAAATAAAAACACTTGTAATAAGGTTATTCCAAAATCTGCATAAACCTTTGCTTTCCAGTCAGACACATGTTCATCTGCACTCACTCCTCGGGCCATCTCTGGTGTAGAGCTTCACCTCAGGCTTGTGTGTTTAACCCCTAGAAATACATTCAAATTCTGCAATTCTATCCAGTAAACGAAATAAACCAACAGGTCAAA